AGAAACGATAGAGAAGAAATTTGGGGGAAAAAGATCAAAAAAGAGGCCAAGAAAACCTCAAATTTTGTCCAACAATGGTGTTCGATGCAAATAGGAAGAAGATGGCTTTACAAAGCCCTAATGTCACTGTTAGACCCTTTTCCAAGGGTCTCACGCTCCTAATTGGTGTGTGTCACACGCTCTTTGATATTCACTGCCACATAGGATGCCAAGTCAAAAATAGTGTTTAAAATATTGTGTTTTGATAAGTTCAGGGGTTCAGATGACAAAGGGGCAAGTAGAAGGGTTCACAATACAAACACATACAAGTATAAGGGTCCACCAGACCATTTCACCTATATTATATATAAGAAGTGTCAATAAAAAAAAACTAAGTGGACGAAAACTCAAGGGCAAAAGCACCTTAGTGTGTGTATTTACATATTTGATGTAGTCAGTATTAATGTGTGTTTTTTAGATTAATAATTAGTGATAATTTATGTGTATTTCTAACCTTCCCAATAGTTTAGGTATAAAATTCAAAGAAAAATAATAATAATTTAAATATAAAACTCAAAAAAAAATTGAGTTTTGACACTTTAACTCTTATCAAATTGGTGCACACATAATATGTACTAAAAAGGAACAATGTAATTACTACTCACTCTAACATTTTAAATATCTTAATCAGTGACCAATAACATTCAAGATTAATCACCTCACAATTGATGAAACACATTTCGAATTTTGAGATTCAAAAAAGTCTATTTTTTATCGTAGATTTTCCATATATGTTTTAATTATTTTGACTTATAATACTTTTTACGTAGTTTACAAATATATAAATTCCATTTCAACATAAATTTTTGATCAACTTAAACGATTTAACTCTAGAAAATAAAAAATTTAGTGCCTTGCTTGCAGAATGATCCGAAGTGACAAAGTACATGTCTCAGTCTAATAAAGGTATATTTTGAGGCAAAAATCTTGTTGATCTTAATTATTTTAGAGATTATATTTGACTTGCGTGTCAAAAAGAAGTGGTCGATGATGTAAACATTTTCTCATGTGTCGTTCTTTTGCTTTAAATAACAACGGTTTATGACATCCAACAAAGATCGATCCGTTAAAACATTCTTCCTCAAATTTGATTGGCATTTGGAAAAATCAAGAGCACTAGTATATATATTTTACTATATAAGAAGAGTGAATAAAATTCACTCTTCTTTCGACACGTGGCACCATGGCCCACCTACTTTTATTTTATTTAAATCATTACTATATAAGAAGAGTGAATAAAATTCACTCTTCTTTCGACACGTGGCACCATGGCCCACCTACTTTTATTTTATTTAAATCATTACTATATAAGAAGAGTGAATAAAATTCACTCTTCTTTCGACACGTGGCACCATGGCCCACCTACTTTTATTTTATTTAAATCATTACTATATAAGAAGAGTGAATAAAATTCACTCTTCTTTCGACACGTGGCACCATGGCCCACCTACTTTTATTTTATTTAAATCATTACTATATAAGAAGAGTGAATAAAATTCACTCTTCTTTCGACACGTGGCACCATGGCCCACCTACTTTTATTTTATTTAAATCATTACTATATAAGAAGAGTGAATAAAATTCACTCTTCTTTCGACACGTGGCACCATGGCCCACCTACTTTTATTTTATTTAAATCATTACTATATAAGAAGAGTGAATAAAATTCACTCTTCTTTCGACACGTGGCACCATGGCCCACCTACTTTTATTTTATTTAAATCATTACTATATAAGAAGAGTGAATAAAATTCACTCTTCTTTCGACACGTGGCACCATGGCCCACCTACTTTTATTTTATTTAAATCATTACTATATAAGAAGAGTGAATAAAATTCACTCTTCTTTCGACACGTGGCACCATGGCCCACCTACTTTTATTTTATTTAAATCATTACTATATAAGAAGAGTGAATAAAATTCACTCTTCTTTCGACACGTGGCACCATGGCCCACCTACTTTTATTTTATTTAAATCAT